GTTTTTTTATAGTAATTAAAAGTCCTAATTCCTTATTTTGGGGAGTTTGGAGCAAAAATTAAACTATAATAATTATTGGTGCTGTAATATTTTCTTTTTGATAGTAATTTTAAAAACTTTGGGATTTTTTTTCTCTTTCTTAGCAGATTAGGAACTAAATTATTTTCAGTTATTTTTTCTATAACTACCCATAATTAAAAGAGCAAAAAGGAATTTTTGGGGGTAGTTTTTTTAACCTTAACTTCAATGTTTTTTTTTTTTTTTTTGCTAAATGCCGCCTGACGAGCGAGTTTTAAGGAAAAATAAGCCAATAATCCGAATAGAATGAACCAAAATAAAACTAACAAAATTTTTAGGACAAAGCGGTAATCACGGCTAATATCAATTATTTTACCCATTCGCTTCGAACTTAAAAAAGGCAGATTTCACCGAGCATTAAATCGCTTCAAATATTCTTTATCGGCCAGTTTGCTTCGGAGAAGGCAAAAGAGGTAGTAAAAGGCTGGTAGAATACAACAAAAAAGTAGAGTTAGTTTTAATTTTTTTTTCAATAAATTAAGGCGGGAGTAGCGGAAAAAGTAGATTAGAAAAAAAGTGGGAGCGATTAAGTGCCAAAGCGGAGAATAAAATCAATAACGGATTGCTTTGATTATTTCAGTTTGGTTATGACTGGGGATAGGAACTAGTTTAGTAGTGCCATTAGTAATTCCGCATCAGGTAGTTAAACCGGTAGCAATTCAGACTAGAAAGCCGGTTCCGTAAATCGCCAAAGTAAGCAGATTACTCAACATTACTATTAGGGAAAAAACTTGGGCTAAATAATGGTTAACTTTGGGATTTTTTCGTTTTCAGAGTAAAAAAGTAATGGTTAAAAAACTGTTTCAAACACAGAACCAGGCTAGAAAATGTCAAAAATATTGGAGCGGATAATTTAATTTGTCTCCTCCGCTAAACCATCCTAAAATTAGGCAATAGAGATGGGAAATTGGCAATCAAAGGAGATATCGTCGTTCCTCTTTTTTCATTTAAAGATATTTTTCTAATAAACTTTTAAGTAATTTAGAGTCAGCAGGCTGAGCTCCTTTCTCTAACCATTTTTTAATGCTTTCTTTTTTGAGGTTTGTTTCTCCGCTATGAGGATTATGAAACCCTAAATACTCTAAATAATTACCACTATCTCGGGCTTTTCTAGCATCAATAGCAATTATTCAGTAAGAACGCTGACCTACTTTTCCTTTTAGACTTAGACGAATTTTTACCATTTCTTTATTTTAATTTTTTATTATTATATAATTATTTTAATCATTCATTTTGTTGTGGAGGAGTATAATAGGCGAAATTATGGTTCGTTTTTTTGAAAAGGTTTTTAGAATATATCTATTTGTTCGCGAACTTTTTTTTCTTGGCTACTTTCGCCTCTAATTCAACGTCAAATCTTTTTTCAAAAATATCCTACAAGAGCAAGAATTATTAAAACTAAAATCAATAAAATAACTTTTCCTTTGGTTCAAAACGGCGGTCTTTCTTCTGGTAATTTCCGGTTGACTTTTTGATATTCGCTTGTATCATCTAATCTAACCGCAGTAGTTAGATAAAAAATTGGTTCGATTTCTTTTATCATTTCATTCTCGTAAGTTATTTTATCGCTATTAATTTCACCCTTTTTCCGAACAGTTATATTGATTTTATCCTTGCCAATTATGGTGAAATTATAAGCTATATCCTTGTCTCTACAATCATAATCATGTTCTAAAACTGATTTATATCTTTCTTTTAATAAATCTATACAAATCTCTCTTTTGGCTTTTTTTCATTTTTCTTCGTTTTCATAGGTATCAAGATGTAAAAAACAAGTTATTTTTTCTTTTTCATCTTCCGTTCATTGTTTTCGGTCTGAATTATCAATCTCCATGAAAAATTTAGCACTATTGTTCTTACCTTTATCAATTAGGTCTAAATCGGCATATCGAGTTACTGGTTTACCATTGCTAAAAAGTTCTATTCTTTGCCGAACTACTTTATCAATTAGAAATTTGATTTCAACTTGGTTGCTGCTTCCGGGTCGGGTTGCTTTTCCGAAATCTATTCAATCATTAGGTTTTTTCATATGACTTATTTTTTCTTTTTTTGGAAATAAAGGTTCTTTCGGTATTTTTTTAAAGCAAAAGAAGAGGCTTTTTTGAAAATAAGAAGAGATAAACTTTTGTTGTTATCTTTAATTTTTAGTTTTATCATTTAAAAGAATTTTAATGGCGGTTCCAACGAGAATTGAACTCGTGACTCCTCCGTGACAGGGAGGGATGTTACCACTATACCATAGAACCTTAATGGTACTCACAGTAGGAATCGAACCTACAAAATGCTGGGACTTGAATCCAGTGCTTTACCATTTAGCTATGTGAGCAATTAACTCTTTTGGCAAGGCAACAGAACTCGAAATTGGAGAGGTTATTTTTTTCCCATTCCAAAGTGGTGCCCAAGGCGAGATTCGAACTCGCGAACCATAAAGGATGAGGGCTTAAGCCCCACGCGCCTAGCCAACAGCGCCTCCTGGGCAATTTGGCAGAGGCGGCAGGACTTGAACCCACAACAATCGGAACTGAAGGCCGATGTTCTACCAATTGAACTACGCCTCTCAATAACCGAAATGCTGTTGATATTAATTAATTAACCATTAACTTAAACAAGGAAAGTGGCATGGTGACCCCAGCGGGAATCAAACCCGCGCCATCTCCGTGAAAGGGAGACGTATTAATCACTTTACTATGGGGCCTTATTCCGCTTTCTTTATAAACTCTTTTAATTGATTAACACTTAGACTTCCGCTTTTTTTTCCCACCCATTTTTCCTGTCCCTTTCGGAACAGAAAAATAGTAGGCACGGAAAGAACATTAAATTCCGGATTTTGGGCTAGTCTAGGAAATTTTTCGGCATCTACTTCTATTACTTCCATGTCTTTCTTTTCCTCCAACAACACTTCAATATTTTTTTGTAATTCTCGACAGGGAAGGCATCAAGTAGTAAAGAATTTCACCAATACTAACTCAACTTGACTATTCCGGAGGAGAGAATAAAACTCTTCCTCCTTCGTTAGACTTTTTATTTTTAACATAATCAATGGAGACTGATGCTCCTTTTATTTTACAAACTTTCTTCTTCTTTATCTTCTTTTCGGCTAGCAATGAATCATCATACTAATCCAATTACAACTACCACGGTAACAGCAATTCAAGTTATATGAAATCCTTTATTAAAACCTTTTATTGATACATCTTTTTCACCACTTTCTATTTTAACATTATCAAGTTCTTCAAGTTCAACCGAGTCAGACATGAATCCTCTTTTAACTTTTCCTTTTAGTTTGCAAGCTGCAGGTGTGCCAGTAGTATCGCCAACTTTTTTTTTCTTTCCATCAATTGTAACTACTGTATCGGTTTTGTAATCACCGGTATAATCCATCGCACATTCTTCTACAGTAATTTCGTATTCTACTTCTTGATTATTACTTCCTTCTTTAACTTTAACTTTAAATGCTTTCTTTTCAGAAACTTTATATTTATCTGTCATATATTTTATATTTTATATAGTTTTTATATTTTGGGTTTGATTAATTTTATTTATATTATTGTCTTATTTGGAGCGAATGACGGGAATCGAACCCGTGTCAAGAGCTTGGAAGGCTCAGGCCCTACCACTGGACTACATTCGCAGTAATGGAGGTATAAACCCCCATTAATTTATTTTCTTTTATTTGAAACTGTTGGTTTAGTTTTTCACAATCCGCTGCTGGCTTTACAAGTCACTCGGGTTAGGAGTTTAGTCGATTTAACTATTTTCTGTTTCTGAGTTTTACAACTATTACAATTTCTTGTTTCTAAAATCAACTTCCGAAAAGAAGCAGATTTAGTAAAGGTCGCCAATCCTTTGCCTTTGTTATTTCGCTTGTAATCATCCATTTTTTTAGTATGACTATCACAAAATTTGCTTATTTTTGGCACTTGCTTTGACCTTTTTAAGGTAAAATAATCTCTAAAATTAATATCTTCGCCGCCGATTAATTTTTGTTTAACTGCTTCCAAAAAAGAACCGGTCACGGCTTTCACTTCCGCTTCGCTTAATCTAGTTTTTTTACTTATTTCTTTATTTATTTCGGTTATTCCAATCATAATTGATTATTTTATATTATTTTTAATGGTGGCTTAGGGCAGAATCGAACTGCCGACCTCTTGATCTTCAGTCAAGCGCTCTAACCAACTGAGCTACCAAGCCTTACTTAGAATAGGTAAATTCCTACTACTCTTGGGCGACCTCCCCAATCCGGAAAAATAGATACGTTCATTTGTGCAAAGTATTTTATTACTAGTTTTATAACCTTTTCCTTCTGTCGGTGTCCGATTTCTACTATTAATAAGAACTTTTTTTTCAGAAAAAAGCGGGCTTTTTGAAAAATTTTTTGGTAAAAAAAGTAGCCGTCGTCCTCGGCTACCACTGCCTCTTTTGGCTGTTTCCGAACCGACTCAGAAATATTTTCATATTCGGTATCACTAACATAAGGCGGATTAGAAATAATGATATCAAATTTTTGATTTTTGGCTAGATTATCAAACAAATTACTTTGTCAAAAACTAACCTGACTTACTTGTTGAATTGAAGCGTTAATTTGAGCGATTTTTAATGGTTTTTGATTGAGGTCAATCGCCACAAAACTTCAATTCGGTTTCTCTTTGGCTAAGGGAATAACTACATTACCGCAACCGGTTCCAATTTCCAAAACGGTCAGCATTTCCTTTTGCTTCCAAATTTTATCGACCAATTCCAAAGTCTTTTCCACTAATATTTCAGTATCTTTTTGAGGAATAAAAACTCCTTTTTCGATATAGAAATTCAGTCCATAAAAATAAACTTGGTTAGTTAAATAGGACACCGGACAATTTTCTTTTAGATATTTATTTAAATTATGGCAAATCTGAGTATAATCAGTAGCAGATAATAATTCTTGGGAAAAATTCTTTCAAAAAATTTCCGGAACAGTATAACAAAGGTTAATTATATCATTTTTTACTGCCCCGATATCAATATTTTCCCGCAAAGAAAAAGCATAATTTCAACAGTCTTGATAAGAATAATAATCCTTAACCGCTGGGGACTTTGAAAGGGTATTCATTATTTTCGCTTGATAAAAAAACTTAAAAGTAGGAATAAAATAACTAGATTCAAAAAAACAAGAATGCTTAAAGTAAAAAAGAAAGTGAAATAAACAACGCTATCAACACCATATAAATATTTCTAATCATATTAGTTAATTTAGTAAAATGGGTGGCTTTGTGGATATTTTCTTTTCTTTCTTGGGCGGGGGAAAAACTATCTTCTTCTCCGAAAAAAAAGGAGCAAAAGATGATTACTATTCCTAAGAGCAATAGGAGAATTTTTAATAGCATGGTGAATTATTATTAGGTTAGGCAGTTTCTTTTTTTTAGGATAATTAGTCCGCGGTTTGGTCCGGGAATGGACCCTCGCAAGAAAATAATTTGTCTTTCAGGGTCAATTTTTTCGATTAGGGAAGGTTGAGTAACCTTTTCATGCCCCATTCGCCCGGGCATTTTTTTACCTTTGGGTATCCCTTGGTTAGTGCCTCGACCACCTCCCATGGAACCAATTAAACGGTGGGGATAACCACCCCCATGGGTCATTCGACCTCGGGAAAAGTGATATTTTTTAATTACTCCGGCAGTGCCTTTGCCTTTGGAAGTGCCGGTAATTTTTACTTTGTCGCCAACTTCAAAAAGGGACAAATCAATTTGAGAACCAGTTTCAAATCCCTCCATATTGCGGATTTCGTGTAAATGCTTTTTGAGAGGAAGCGCCTTTTTTTTAAAATGACCGATTGAAGGTTTATTCAGATTTTTTTCCGCACAATCGCCAAAAGCAATTTGGCAAGCCTTATATCTTTCTTTTGCTTCTGTTTTTACCTGCGAAACTATATTACCACCCACTCAGACCAAAGTAACCGGTCGTAATTCGCCGTCGGTTACTGGCAAGTGGGTCATTCTCATTTTTTTTCCAAGAATACCAATTGTTTTCATATTATTAATTTTAATTGAAAAATAATATATAATGAATGAAAATATAAAAGACAAAGATATCGGAAGGATAAATTCTTCGGTAAAAAGTATGGAAGGAACTAAGGAAAAAATGAGAGGATTGGTTTTGAGAGAAATGGAAGGAGAATTGAATTCTATTTAGAAGTGTTATAGCCACCATTTTCTAGGGAAATATTCAGAATAGGAAAGGAGGCAAAAAAAACATTAAGTAAATTAAGGAATATAAAGAGTCAGTGTCTAAAAACTTAAAAACAAATCCTAAAAAAAATCCACGATTTAAAGACAAAGATGCCGAAGCCTTGTGAAAGGGTGAATGAGTTTCCCAGTATCAGAATATTAAGAAAGTTGCTTATAAAAAACTTCATTCTTTAATTAATACTACTAATCTCAATGATTTATACTTAATTCCCGGTAATCACGCTGAGGAATTGAAAGGTAAAAAAGACTATTACAGTATCAAAATTAACGACCAATATCGTGTAATCTTTAAATGAGATAAAAAAGGTGCTAATCAGGCTGAGGAGGTAGAAATTAATCCCCATAACAAAAGATATGGCAAGTAAAATTATTATATTATGGTAAAAGATAGAGATTTAAAACCTATTCATCCAGGAGAAATATTAAAAGAGGAATTTTTGGAGCCTTTAAACTTAAAAGAGGAAAGTTTAGCCCAAGCCATTCAGATTCAACCAGCAATAGTTCACCAATTAATTCAAGGTCAAGAGAAAATGACCGTAGATTTGGCTTACCGACTTTATTTTTATTTTGGAGTGAGTGCGGAATACTGGTTAAATTTTCAAAAAAATTATGACTTGGCAACTTATCAAGAATTAGCGGAAAAGGAAATCAGAAAGCAAATTCAGCCTTATTTGCGAGAAGAGAAACATTTATAAAAACAAACCCTTTATTTTTCGTCCAAAAAATATTAATATGAGGAATACCAAAATAATTGTTCCAGTTAAAAAATAAATTCCTAAACCTCCCAAATTTGAATTATTATTGCCTTTATTCTGAATAAATTTTTTTTGTGGTTTTGCTTTATTAGAATTATTTAAATTGTTGTCATTATCGTTTTTTTGCTAAACTTTTATATATTTTTTTACATATATAACGACACCTATATTTATATTTTAGGGGTAGGGTAAGAGAATTTAAATGCTAAAATTAAAAATAAACAGAAGTTTTTTCTCTAAACCTTTCTAATTACCGAAGCATCCCAGTAATTATTTTCCCTTTTGGTCTATAATTTAATTTTATATATAATCTGAATAAAGGTTTGGTATTAAACTTAGGTGATTATATACAAGTTTAAACTAAAATACTCATATAACCTTTTTTATGTTAAAATTTAAAAGTATATCCGAA